AGCTCTTTCCCGTACTACATTTGTACTACAAACTGGCCACTTCTGAGTCCAGCTCTGAAAAGCTCTTTTCCGTACCACATTTGTACCAAAGTACTGCGCCTGCTACGCAATCTACAGTTCGAGGTTCACAAAGTACTGCGCCTGCCACGAAGTCTGCACTTCAAGGTCTGCGCCTTCCATCGAGGTTCACAAAGTGCTGTGCCTGCCACGAAATCTGCACGTCGAGGTTCACCAAGTGTCCAAAAGTCACGATTCACTGCACCTGTCACGAAATCTGAGCTCACCACCATGTCCAAAGTGCGGCACCTGCCACGAAAACTTCATTTTGAAGTAAAACAGCTCCGATCCCTTGCATCTGTCACGAAAAGTCGACTTTGAAGCACCAAAACACGAGGTTTCCCCTGCGCCTGCCACGAAAAGTGACCAGCATGTGCGAAAATGCGCACGGCGCCACAACGAGAGCGCAGTCGTTAGAAGCACCCGCCCGGGGCACCCAGACTGTGTGAGCCTGCGCAGTCGAAATGCGCATAAGAAACAGGTGAAAACTCTAGTTACAATGGAGGGACGATTCGACCATGATCCGAGAATGACGCGAGGCCATTCCGCAACCGTCGTTCTGCAGAGCTAGCCTTGCCAGGTTCGGAACCACCCTTTGTACTTATTGAACAAGATGGAGCGCACGAACCCGAATGCAAACACGTTCGAAAAATGCTTGCACGTGTCATGTTTTTTCTGGCCCAGCTCGCTAACGTCGAGGTTCGTCAGCCACATGGCAAACAAGATCGAAAATAAAGGGCCAATCATTTTTTGACTCTTGCGGGCCGCTCTTGTGGCCACACTTCGACCTTCACCCCCGCTCTCCCCAATTTGCAGTTTCTGCTCCTTCTTGTCCGGGAATCTTGCATGCGACGGCGGAGTGTCATTTTCGGCCAAAAACAAATTGAATTGAACAAAGTTTGCAGAGACAACTTCAGCCTTGCGCTTGTCGACGTGTCATCAAGCGCCACTGTGTCAATGACCGAGTCACGCGACACCGCGTCGGGGAGTAGTAGTAGTAGTAGTAGTAGTAGTAGTAGTAGTGGCAGTGGTAGTAGTAGTGGTAGTAGTCGTAGTAGTAGTAGTAGTGGCAGTAGCAGTGGCGGTGGTGGTGGTAGTAGTAGTAGCAGCAGTAGTAGTAGTGGTACTAAGTAGTAGTGCTAGTGATAGCTTTTGAAAGTCCGTAACACTGAAGTTTTGCACCCTAAACTTGCTTTGACAAGATGTTTTTTTGGCGAATCTTTGCAGCCACATGGCGTTTCTGCAGCCGCACCTTCCCGCTGGCAGTGCGCAATTGGCGATGATTTTCTTTCTGGTGTGCGTTCTGCCTCACACCATCCTCTTTTACGCACGGAAAATTTGTAGCCATGCCACAGGCAGTTGCCTGTTCTATGCGTAGCAAAGGTGCCAGAGGCATGTGCATGTACTTAGTATGGTGTTGCATGTGGGTGTCTCTGTTGCAAAACATTCTTTCTATTCAGTGCAAACCATGCTGTATGCGCAACGAGGCCACATACATAGCAGGACGTTTTTGCAACCGCAACAGTTTTTGCACTTGTAGTGTACGAAGCAGTTTTTCAATGCAGGGCCAAACGTGTTGCATGCGCAAGGCCGCAGGCAGTTGCACTTGCCTGGCAGGATGTGTCCGCACGGGCAACAGCTTTTGCACCTGTAGTGTGCCTTGTGGCCGTTTCAAAGCATTCAGTCTACACTGCGCAGAACACGTCTCATGAGCAGCAAGGCAACAGGCAGTTGCACATACCTACCAGGATGTTTCCGTACTGTTGCACTTGTGGCGTGCTTTCTCGTCCTGTTGCAACTCATTCCTTCTACGCAGTTGTTTTGGGACCAACAGTGACCAACAGTGTTGCAGGTGTTTGTGCATAACCTAGCAAACACCTTTGTCGAGAACGATGTTTTTCTAGTTCTGATCCGTTTTTTGGTTCGGCCCATTTCGGCCTTTCTTCCCTTTCTCTCCGCTTCAGGGAAGCAGGGATGGATGGCCCTGACCGGGTTTGCCTTCCTTGGCGCAGGCATGTGCACTCTGTGCACCTCAGAGGGCTTCAATTATATTTAATTTAAACTTAATTCCAATATTTTTTTGTTACTAGTAGTAAGGCACTTGTTACTACTAGCGAGGCACTTGTTACTAGTGTTTGCACAGAGGGCTTGCGCTCATTTTCGTTCAACAAGTGGTGACAAAAAGTCTCGCAGGCGTCCGATTTAGGGCTCGAGCGCCCAGTTGGGCGCATCTTGCTCGCCTTCTGCCGCGTATGTCGCGGCTCCTCTGAATCGGGGCGCGCAAAGCTTGCAAACAATGAAAGGTGCACAAGTGCACAAACACAAAGTTTGTCCATATGATGGGCAAAAGCAGGTGGTAGGGCTTGGTAGGGGTTACTCTGTGCAGGGGCAAAGGCACAAAAACGTGTGCGTATGGCTGCATTTCACTGCATGCGTGCTGTATGCTTGCCGATCCTGTTGTCACATGGCTGAGGGGCATGAGGCAGTCAGGAGCTTGGTGCCTGCGATTGTAGATACGAGGGGTGCTGAATGGTCAGTTTTGTGTTTGTTGTCAACTTCCGAAAACTAGAAACCTGCGCAAAACAGGTGGTTGCCCTCATAGAAAGCAGATCACGCGAGGCAAGAACCCTCACATACCAAAAAGTTCTTTTGTCCAGACTGTGGATGGTCCGTTCAGTTCGGCATGGTATTGTTTGTAGAAGCTTTCAGTACCAAAAAGAAAGAACACACACGTACTGAAAGCTTTGGTTACTTTCCGTTTCCTTTCTGTTGTTTTTTCTTGCCGGGAGGTGGGCTTGGCTGGAGTGTGCTGTCGGCACTTCTGGCTCAGCTTGATGTGCGCTTCATCATACGGAGTTTCAAAACTTCGCCAGGTCCATGGAGTTTGAGTTGACGCAGTTCAGCACGGCACTTATTTAACGGAAAAGGGCTTTACACAAAAACACCTTAAACGATATTTATTTTTACAAGCCAGAAGCTTGTGCTTTGTAACAGCAAGCAGAGAAGCCATGTGAGGCGACACAACTTCATACAGGTGCCGGAACCCGGATGTGTTTTTCTTTGTGGAAAACGGGGAGAGAAGAGGCCAAGGCACCATGCAGTCAGGGCTCAGGAGAAGAAGAGACAAGGTTTCAGGATGTCCCAGGTCTGACATTTACAGAAAACAAACTGGGACGAATTTTGCCTGAGGGGACTCGTGACAAATCTTTCTATTCCAGATGAATTCACGGTACACGCGCAGCTGCTGCAGTCGGACTACATCAGCCGTCCTAGCTGCAGACCCATCTGCTGTGCTGGTCAGCGAAAGCCTCAGGAGAACAGGGCAGGTGGAGAAACCAATGTAAACCGCCCTCAAATACAAAATATGGGTATGGCCCCCGTCGCCCCGGAAAATATGTCACATCGGATCTCTTGTGCAGTTGGGATGAACATGTGGGCATGTCACACGTCAAATCCATTGGATAGTTGATGCTTTGGCTCCGCAGTCTGCTTGTCTAAGACCATGTAGCCAGGACCTTCACTTAGGAGACTAATTGGCAGCTCAAGGATCAAAGATCTAAAGAAACCCGGACAATGCGCCCACATTTTTGAACCCCATACTTGCGAGGTTTCAGGCAGAGTAAATAGTTTAGAATTGCGAGCAGGACTCTGACATGCACCTGACAGGAAGGTTTTATCACGAAAGCTAGCATCAGCTAGCTGGAGTTGCTCTTGCTTTAGCAAGTCAAGGGCTCGCAGCCTCGAGAATCATGAATCACGTGAAAACTTCACGTGTAGGGGGGGGCCCCCCCCCCCCCGCGGGTTCAACTCCCCCCTGGGACGCTTCCGGTACGTGCTATAGTGCTATGTTTAGGTGGCAGGTGAAGTAGGCCACTGTTTGAGTTTGGAAGGGGGGGCATGAAACATGAAATTTAGGCGAGGGTTCAAGGCTTCAATGATGAGCATCACGGGAAGTCAGAAACCAGGCATATCAGATACACATGCCTTTGAGCTTCCTTCGGCATCTCAGTGCATATGGCTGACACTTCACTCGACAAAGATGCTCAAACAAACATACATAAACCAGGTGTATCTGATACGCCTGGTTTGTGACTTCCCGTGATGCTCATGATGCTGCGTTGCTTTTCTTCAGTCCCTCGTTACATATACATGACGATCCAACAGCAGATTCAACAAGCTCACATGTTCATGACATCGACATCGATAGAAGAAACCAAACAAATCATGCAAGCAGCTTTGTTTTGCCTCTGGGACACCTCTTGGGCACCTCTTATGGCATCCACACTGGTTCAACTCCTCCGTGGAGGTTTTGGGATACGGATGGATACGGTGCAACAGATTCAACAAGCTCACAGGTTCGTGAACACATCGGATGCATCGAACAGTGTGGCAAAGTCCAGCCACGCTTCCTTAATTATCGGGGACTTCAATTCTAAGGTTGGCTGTGTCATTGCTGTTTGTGTGTCTTACATCTTCACAACGTTTTACCTCATGAGCATTTGCCTCACTCCGCTTGATGTCCCATCAGTCCGGATGCACCCCTGCTAGCTTTCGTCACCTACCCTCGGCCTCAAGTTCATGCTCAAAAAGGAGCGTCCTGTGCGACACAGGTTATGAGCCCAACGCGGCTCACCTAAGACCACCCTGAAGGATCAGGTCATTGGCCGCCATGGAGTCAGAAAACAAGGGTGGCAGCAGAACTGCAACATGGTAGCTGCCGCACAAGAGCGACTTGCAAATGGCCCCTGAGGACTCAGAGCTTAGTGCACATGGAGGTGAAGGGTCGGAGGAACTGCAAGTTACAAGATCCTCAACTTCCAGAACTTAGTGAAGAAGGGATGAAGTGCTCAAGAGATGGGGCGACCGGCAATCAGTGCAAGTGAAGAGATGAGCCGAGATCAGAGTGATCGCTGGACACAAGGGTTGAGCGCAGTGTGTCCAGTCCGGCATCGTGATCACACCTGGCTGCCCACCAGCTGGGAGTCAAAGGGTGGGGTCGGCTCGCCGATGCCGCCAACATCTTGTGTGTTGGGTTCAAAGAAGGAGCAAGGAGAACAGAAGGCCAACTCCGTTCGAGCAAAATTCCCTGTCCTCAGACGCCTACAACAGTTATGTTCATGCCAATGAAGCCTTCTGTCGAACATTGTCGTAGAAAACCGGGAGGCGCGCAAGTCCCACTAGGGACACCTCCTCTTGAACAGCAGGGCGCGCAAATGCAGTGAGAGACCGGAATTGCTCCCTTGACCATGGACGGACAAAGGGGCTGGAAAGTGGCCCAAGGTTGCGGTTTCTTCAAAGTTGACCAAGTCACCACGAAGCTGAAAGCAACACGATGCATGACCGCCAAGTGCAGAACAGATGCAAAGGCTGGAGGTCTTGTTCTAGTTGCCAAGCAGGGTCCAGTAGGAAGTTAAAGCTAAAACGCAGGTATGCAGTGCAGCGTCCTCCACTGTATCAGCGCCAACTGATACACTTCGTTGGACGGGCCGTATCAGCGGTGTCCCGTCCCCCTGCTAACGTTTAATATCAAAAGAATCACTGTGATTCCAAGGGTTTCACACCCCCCCACATGGGGGGGCCCGAAATCTAAGGGGCAGACTAATGCGCATGCAAGTGTGTGTGTGTGCCCCTTGTAGTCACAGGGATTCCGTTGAATTGTTCTCTTTTCTTTTCTTTTTCAGCAGGGGGCTGGTTGTTCATGCAAGTACCAGCCCAACGAAGAGGCTTGCGTTGAACACTGATATCGGTGGGGATGCTCACCGACGTACCTGCTTTCTTTGGAAATGGTAACCTAGGCCGGCGTGTGGCACCGCTGTCAAGTCAGTACGCGTATCCATAAGTGTGTCTTTTCCAGTGAGAGTCCGGGATGAGCCCGTAGAGTGCCTCCCGTGGACCCGTCGAACGGGTGTCTGTCGTTATCTCCCTGGAGATGTACGTGTCCGGAGTGGACAGTAGCTGGCTCATGCCACAAGAACTCAGATTTTTGTCTCATGATTGGAATTCCAAGTTGGCTCATGCCTTTACGCGACCGCAGCGGTCTAAGCTGGCTTAACGCCTCAACGTGGTCAGAGCGACCGAAGTACTTTTGAGGTTCGTTGGAACCTGTCCCACTCTCAGGTGCACACACAGCATTTACATGCAAACGAGGCAAGGTCTTCCTAGGTGTTTCTAATGAGGTTCGGCTTCATCGGTTCTCGTCCCCTCCATTTGGTTCTCCTTTTCATCCTTTCCCCTTTTACACACCTTTTGTTTCCTCTTTTCTTTCATGTCCTCCTGTCTTCATGTCTGGTCATCTCATCCTTTTCTTAGTTTGCGCGCACATTGGTCCCGGCCTTGGTGTGTACGTGCACTTCTACATACCTTTAAACACAGGTTTCAGGTCGCCCAGGTCTTTACAATGAGGTGGGCTTCATCGGGTGTCCCTGTGCACTTGGTTCCCCTTTCATTTCAACCACACGCACCTTTGTCCCGTCTCGTCCTCTTGTCATGTCTTCATTCTTTTGTCTCTTGTGCGCGCGCACGTGCACATTGGCCCTCACCTTAGCTTCGCGCCTCCCCTCGAGGAGGCGTGTGTGTGTATGCCCGTTGTAGTCACAGGGATTCCGTTGAATTGTTCTCTTTTCTTTTCTTTTTCAGCAGGGGGGCTGGTTGTTCACGCAAGTACCAGCCCAACGAAGAGGCTTGCATTGAACACTGATATCGGTGGGGACGCTCACCGACGCGCGTGCTTTCTTAGGAAATGGTAACCTAGGCCGGCGTGTGGCACCGCTGTCAAGTCAGTACGCATATCCATAAGTGTGTGTCGCACCCTGTTTCGAGGGGTCTCCCACTGTTTGTTTCAACCATGAGCAGGGGCGTGCAGCATCTGGGATCTACTGAGCGCAACGAAGCTATGATCACAGATGGGAAGGGATCAAGGACGCTTGATCCTGTACCTGCTCGACAACACACGGACTCCACTGGTCCACCCTCTCGCGCTGTTTTCCAGGTATGATAGGTTGCTGCCGCGCGAGTTTTTGCTTTGCATTGTTCAAACACCTTCAAGTTGACCGACCCAGCATTCTTGCGGTTTGCGCTAACTCTAGAGTCAAGCGCTGTGCGTAACTGATAACCACTGGACATTATGTTCCCTCACCGGAACTTTGAGTCTAAGTGACCTGCTATAGTGGGATCCCCGCAAGGGGGGCTGAAGGCAGCGTGTGAGACATTTTCTGAAATCTCGTCCATACACAGGAAGCCATTTCCTAAACAGCGGACTTTCAAGGAACATATGTTCATTATGCCGCCGGGCCTACGGTACACCTGCAACTGATTCTGCTTTTTCAATCACATTCGTCATACTGCGTGATTTTCCATCGAGATGTTGAACGACTCCTTTCAGCGGATGCTTGGAATTCATATTTCCCCGGCTTTCCACCGCTTTCTCTCTTGCGGTTTTCCTCGGTTTTTTTTAGGCTCGTTAAGTTGCTCTTGAGGCTCGTTACTTGGACCTGCGGCCTCCTAACGGCTAGAGATGATCAGACCTCCTTATATACCTGCTTTCTCAGGAAGCTGGGTGCCTAGGTTGGCGAGTGGCAAACCGCATTTCCTGAGTGTGTCTCTCCTTACTGAGAGCGCACGGTGTAGCCGAGGAGGGTTCCTGTGGCCCCGTCGAACTGGGGTTCGTCTCTGTTTCCATTGCTCGGAAACGCGCGTGCCCACAGCGGGCGGAGTAGGCTTGAGCCAAATTTTGCCAAGGCTTACTGAATTATTGAATACGAGTAGTAGGCAGCTGTCGAGCAAGCCCTGCGGTGACCATAGCCATAGCGGTCAAAGCAGCCAGCAGGGCCCGAGTAGACCGCAGCAGTCGCAGAACTTTTTGACCCATTGGGGTCAGTCGCAGCCTTAAGTGCGCACCCAGCAAACACATTTCAAACCAGGCTAGGTCCACCTAGGTCCCTTTTCATCCTTCCCTTCACATACACTTTCTTTCCTTTTTCTTTTCTTTCATGTCTTTATGGCCTCATGTTTCGTCGTCTCATCCTTTTTCTCTTTGCGCACGCACTGGTCCGATCCTTAGTGCGCGCGCCCGTACACGAAACCCAGGTCTGAGGTCGCCCAGGTTGTTTTTAGGAGGTTTGGCTCGTCTGGTTGTTCCTGGTCACTTGGCTCCTTTTTATCGCCGAATCGCCGCCACATACACTTACACCTTGTCTGTCTTGTCTTCCTGTCATGTCCTCATTTTTTTTGGTCTTTTTGCGCGCATTAGTCTAAACCTGAGTTTTCCATGCCTTCCCTTGTGGGGCGTGTGTGTGTGTGTGTGTGCGTGTGTGTGTGTGTGTGTGAGTGTGTGTGAGTGTGAGTGTGTGTGTGAAACCCTTGGAGTCACAGGGTTCCCTTTGAATTTGTTTATTTTTTCTTGCAGCAGGGGACCAGGCAGGATACATCGCCGCCTGGTCAACGAAGCTGGCGATGTAATTGAAAAGGGACGCCGTTTGAATTGTTGCTCACGCTGTGACTCTTCTTTTCCATAAAGGGCTAATGCATTCTGGAGATGTGGACGCAAGCCGTCATTTCACCCTGTCGCCGCTTCCTTACCTCGTGGATTGGACCCTTGGCCTCCTAATGACCAGAGATGATCAGACCCCCTGAGCTTCTTTGACACTGATTTCCCTGGCATGAACTTTACAAGCAGGGGCGTGTGGCACTCTCGTCCTACCACACAACGAAGCTGTGGGCGAGAGTGGGAAGCAGGGACTTGCCTGCGATGTTTTTCAACTTTTGATCAAGCTGTTACTCCAATCTACCGGTGAATCGATGTTCAAACCATGCAAGTGTGCTGTCGCACCATGTTGATACCTCACAGCCCCAACTTAACACACACACACATATAGCATTGCGTACTGAACTGAAAGCCACACATGCCACACGCCCACCTAGGTGTGAACGCCTAAAGGGTTCAGGTTAGGTGGTAACTGAAGAACCTTCCAAGGAACCTCCAAAGCCCAGGAGCTTCAACTGCGGAAGCGCGACAAGTTGACGGCGTCCGTGCACATCTGCCGACCTGAGAAAACCTAACCAGCCTGGTCAGCTAGAGGAGAAAGTGATCACCGAACATCACGCTTCTGAAATTGCAGGTGCACAGATTGGCCTCCCAATCTGCTTCACGGAGTATTCGCAGCTGTCTTCGTTGGCAGCAGAACTGTGGACTCCCTGCTGCCCCCTGCTAAAGGAAATTCAAGGGGTAAAACAATCCAAACGGAACCTCGTGATTCCAGAGGGTACACAGACACACGCCTCCCCGAGGGGAGGCGTTCTTTTCTATTAAGCTCCGGACGAGAGTCAAGTTATAGGTGAAAGGTGAGCCTAAGAGAAACGGTGAATCTCACGGAATGTCTGATAGGCCGTCAGGGGTAGACGAAGTTGTCCAATGGCGTCATCATGAAGTCGTGGTGCAATCGTGTGCAAGGGACGGTATGCGTGTGCGGTGTCCTCTTGTGAGAATTCATGAATGTATCCGATGGGTCGGAGGCGTCTCGAGTTCACGTAATAGAGCACCAAGTTCTCCAATGTCTCCCAGACCCGTGAATCACCAGAAGACGGTAAAGCCATCCAAAAGGATTGACGGCTGTGGCCGAGGCGGGAAAAGATCACATCTTTGAGATCATCGACCGTGTATTCCTTGTCCTCAATCTGAGCTGCAGTCAGAGTCACGGTGATGTAGTTCAGCGGCTGGTCGACCAGGAGGCTAACGTCAAGTTCAAATCGAACGGTAAGCAAGTTGGGGACTTAAGGTCTGAAAAGGACGTCTCACTTCATTCCAATCTGTGGGGATAGTTTGAGCAAGAGGTTCGGGAGCACGAAGTCCAGAAAAGGCGATCATGTAAAGGGGATAGAATCTGTGGGAGAATCCCAGTGGGGTAGCGAGTCGAAATCGAGGACGAATAAAGCTGAAATGGCTACGGTCGTCAACGTGGGTGGGTCAAACGGGCGTGGGATCAGCGGAAGCAAAGAGAAAAAGGTAAACCCGTAACAAAGTGGAAAGTTGTTAACAATGAGAACGGGTTCAGGAAATTGTGTTCTTTTTTGAGATCCGCGGCGCCGCAGAAGATCGCAATGATATGGGGAAACATTCATTACATTCAAAAGTAGGAAGCGCGTACGGCCCCCAAAGACATACAAATTGTGGCACTCAGGCAATCAGGCGTGGTCCTCTGCGGTGTTGGGGTATGGAGGAGATACGTAGGGGGTGGAGGAAATCGAAGAGGACGTCAACAACATAGATCCCGAATCCTGAGCTCGGTACTGGAACGTCCGTGGCTGGTACAGTAGGATCAAGAGGTGTGTCCGCGCCAGCAGCCTGGGAGGGGCCTGCAGCCTGAGAGGGTCCCCGACGTGGAGCCGAAAGCTGGGCCACGCAACCGCAGCGGCGCTCAAATCCTGCTGGTACCTGGAGAGGTTGTGGATCAAACCATCAACAAGCTGACGCTGCAGATCAGGAGTGAGGCTTCGAAGTTCAGGATTACCAGAAACTTCGAGGTCAGTGAACCGTTGAACCAGATTCTGCACCAAAAGATCCAAACGTTCATTCTCCAAATTTTCGATTGCTTGACGTTTCACACCCCGAGGATGAGAATCCAAGGGAGCACGCTGTTGTTGTGCCATAAGCCGTTGTTCCTGTTCATAGACAGCATGTTCCCAACGATCACAAGCTTCCCAAATGGGAAGGCTTCCATAGTGAAAGTCATGCCATCTCGTGTAGGGATGTTGGTCATCCTCCGGATGGTCCCAAGCGATCGTGTAGGAGTGGAACCAACTGCGGTAGAACCAATGCCGACTTGTGCCCACGTCTCAACAAGTCCATTCTTCGCGCGGTGGTGCAGTGAAGAAAGGTGGAAGTCAGCTGTCTCAAGATTAACAAGAACACCTCCAGGACCAATGGGCAAAAGGAGGCTGGTGGGATCTTGCGCGTTGATGTCAGTTTGTGGAGGGTTCGTTGAAGACGAAGTAGCCATAGCGTCAGCAGTGTCGGTGACGTGGTCTGGCGTCGTAGTGTCAGCAGCTTCCAAAGAGAATCATCAAAGAGGAGGAGGAGGAGGCGGTGGTGGAGCGAAGTCCAAGAACTCGAAGGAAGAAATGCTGCGGAGCGTGAAACAGTGTAGGTAGGGTAAAACGGGTAAAACGGGAAACCCAAGGAAGTGGAGAGTGAAAGGTAAAAACACACCTTTGCAGTCGCCCGGGTGGGTCGCAGAGTGAAACGTAAACTTGAATTATTTATCCATTTTTTGCCTCGGGCAAACAGAAGGGCAAAGATGGTCGAAATCGTACATGTTCACCTGACGGCTTGACCAGGTGGCCAAAGAGCCCCGAAGCCAATGCAGTCTCGGTAGTCGAGGATGAAGATGAAGATGGTCGCCCGGAAGGGTGATGGACGGGGTCGGTCGGAAGTCCCTGTGATCGCAAGGTAGAAGGGGGCGCCGTGGGTCGAGCTTTCATGGGAAAGGTGGTGGAGACAAGCTCGGAGGTGCCATACATCGGCGTGGTCGTTGGGCCGTGGTAGGTATGGATGTAGTTGATGCCGTCAAAGCAGTCGAAGAGGATATCGCACGGGAACCAACGGTTGAAGCGGTCGTGGATGGGGGCGGCGTGAAATTGACGAGAAAGGGGAAACTCGGGAGAGAGAAATGGTTGCGGAAGTTAGGCCGAACATATTCAAAAATGTTAAAAAATGTAAGTCGTACATGTGAGGTGTGGAAATAGTAGTAGCCATTGCAAACTGACCCGGTCAACATCCAAAAGGTTCCGTCACGATTCGTGACATGCAAGGGGAAGGGTAAAGATCCTTGGAAAACAGGGAAATAGAAACCTCCCGCAACTCGAAGAGAGTTCAAGGGGATTGGATACAAGGGATCTCTCATTAGTCCATGGTCACGTCGAAGCTTCCGGGTCAGGAACAATCGCACGTTGAAAAAAGCTCCAAAAGATCTGCCCATCGCGCTTGTATCTGAGAAAGCCGTCGTTGCATTTTCCTTGCGACATATTGCCAGCTTGGGCGTAGGCGTTCGTTGCACTTGAGGTGAGGAGAAGGTCATCATCATGGGCGCTCCAATCGTCATGAGGAGGAGAAGGAGGGAGGGCTTGCGATTCAATACATCGATCAAGCGGACTTCCTCGATGGGTTGATGATCAATGTGAAGATCACGGCTCCAGGCAGTGGCGATGACTCGACGGGGAAAAGTCAACTTGTACTCCTGATTCCGATCCAAGTAGATCTCGTCGGGTTGCCAAGCCTTGGGGATGGAGTACCGGGATTCAAAAGTACTGGAAGTGGCAGGGGCTGATTCAGGAAGTAGAGAACTATCTACGTGGGAGAACAGTCAATACACATGTGTGGTAGACTCGAATTGAAAATCGCTCAACTGGACAGAAGACTTGAATTATTATTGCCAACAGTAGAGAGAGAAAGAGAGAGAGAGAGAGAACGATATGAGCAGATACTTGAAACTGCAGAAGAGAGAAGAAATCACTCAGATAGAGTGCCATCAGAAAGCTCCAGGAACCCCATTCTTGACAATATAACAACGCAACATGAGGATGATGAAAATAGAGTGAGTCATGGTGGCAGAGTGAGCTCAAAGTAGAATTTCGATCGATCACGCTACCAAGAAGGAGTGTGAAACATTTTCAGGGTAGACTACAACACAGATATGTTGCACCACTAGCATTGCTGATTGTACAATGTGCTTGACGGAAGCCCTGTTTGGATTAAGGAAAAAGCTCGCAGTATACTATATTGGATCGTGACCTCTAGTGCCTACACTTCTCAGAACTTGAAAAGTTTTGCGCAACTATCAGATGGAAGGTCCACACATGTATGTGCATCCAGTGATAAGCCAGTGGTACATTCTTGTGCCATAGCTCTACAATGAGCGTGAAAGTGCACATACCCCTCTGTCGTGCAAACACATTCGTATAGTTTTGAGGAGATGCTTGCAGTCCGACGCGCAGGATCTTGTCCTCGTTGGTTTCCAGGCCAAACACCTGGGCTCTCGGCCTCACATCGGAGTCGCACCCGCCCGGTTTGCCGCCACCTTTCCTGTGTCGGCATTGGATCGGCCATCAACGTCCATCGCTCGACCATTGTAGTAGAAAGTGTGCGCAGATGGGCGAATAGTTGTGGCAACAGACTTCGCCTAGCTCCACCTTTTCAGTGTCACCGGGTGCGGCAAAATTACGTCTGCGAGGCCATTGTGGTTTGGCGCGGCTTCGTGCTTGGCGGCGGGCCATAGTGTGCTTATGTAAAACCCGCGTGGTGCTGGTGATTGGAATGATTGGTTGAGGAGGCTTGTTGCAGCTCAGCTGCGTCCAGTATGAGGTGCGTGGTGTTGGCGACTTACCTTTGTGATGTCACTGAGCCATGGTTTGGCAACGCTTTTGTGGACAGTGTGTGCGCGTTGCTGTGGCTCCGGTATTTGATGCAGACAGGACTTGCTATTGTGAACGCATGTATCGCACCTTCCTCCCTGATAGCTGCAAAGTGCTTGAAGTCGCCAAACATGTGGTGTCACAGAGGGTTACAGCGGGTTACCTGGTTACCTTGTAAAACATGTTTGGAAGATGTCTCGGGTTGCTGATGCCAAAGCTGTCCAAGCACATGTCACATTTGGCTGCAAGGTCGGAGCGCTCGTGGAACTCAGCTTGTCCAAGTGCTTGAAAAGGCAAGAGCTGTAGAACGTACAAAACATAAGTTTAGAAGATGTTGAGTAATGGGCAACGTTAATCATGCGTGGTGTTGTTCGCAAGTTCTTCCAAGCTTTTCAGCTTCTGTTTTGTTCATGTTTCCCATGCATGTTCGGACAGACTACAATTACACGTATGATTCAATCATGTTTTGTTTGGATTCTCATTTAGATTCGACCACTTCGTCGATCACTTGAGGCAGCAATTCCGCTGACGTTCTTGGAACGGCGGCACTTTGATGAAGCAGAAGGTCAAAACATCCTGGAGGAGGAAAGACACACGGAAACATTTGCTCCACAGCTCGTGTTACCTCGTGTTACACGTAGTGGGACACCATCGCCCATTTTAGATAAAAACACATTGAAGCAGTGTGAAGTCACAACTAGTCACTCAAGTGACTCGGTTTTGAAAGAGAGCTAGGTTATTCATTAAAAAAGACCATTCTTTGAGCTGCCTCGAGGCCATTGTCGTAGGACTACAGCAAGCGGACTATGCATCAAAGTTTGCAGCCATGGCCAGCTTCAATGCGTGGCGTGTCTGCAAAACAACTTCAAACACCATTACAAGAAAGGGTCATGGTGGTCAGATTAAAGATGCTCCGTACATGCCATGCATTCCAGACTCCAGAACCCCAGGAATGGGCAATTCTTTTTCCAATTGCTTGGGTACTGTGTCCGTATGATTTTTCTTGTTGTGCTTTTGTACTCGTCACCAGGTTGTGGCGTTACGTTGAGTCTGGTGATGTGCGCCTCCAAGCGTGCAGCTGCAAAGTCACCTTTCGCGCTACCCAGATGCAGAAATGGGAAAGAATCTCTGCGTGGCAGAGTTTGACTGAAAAAAATATGATAGGAAAATGCAGACAACCAAGAGTTCTTTCTGTAAAATTGTTTGCATTGGACCTGACTGGACTGACAGACCCCTCACTGCGATTTCCTCCACAGATGTCGACTCTCTTTTTTTGCACCTCGGCCAATGGCCCTAACGGTCCCTCAGCGGGCCCCTTGAGTATTTGCGCTTCACGCGCGACTTGGCGCCCATGGCTGATCGCATGCACCGCGATCTTGGACTGTGAAAAGAAGCGTGCCGCTTCCAGCTGTTTTGCGCTTTCCAGCTTTCACAAGTTGGTAGCGCGGAGCTACGTTTCTAGTTGGATAGAACATCGGCAGACCTTTGAGCAAGCCCAATCACATGATCTTCTCCACCAAGCTCCTCCCTATGTGTCGCCCTTTGCAGGAAATGTTGATGTCAACCTGAGGCGTGACTATGCCCACCTGTTTGAGGACACCGGAGATGATGAAGATCAAGGCCCTGTAGAGCCGACCGGTGACCCACTGCATGAGTGGTACGCCGACGTCGAAGTGTGAGGGCCCCATAGAGGCGACTATGAGCGGCAGCCATTGGTCAGTAAGCCAGAGGATGGAACTTGCGCCGCAGGCGGGGGAGGTGCTTGCAGACCAGGTCGAGTTGTCGTCGGCTCAAAAAGATGCCCATGCCGAATCGAAGCTGAAGTATCTCAGCACCCTCCCGGACGGGAGACGGAGCAAGGGGAAAGGCCAGGAGAAGGGGAAGGAGACCGGCGACTTCAAGAGAGACAAGGGGAAGAACAAAGGCCAGTCGAAGGGGGACAAAAGTCGACCCAAGGAGGACACCGGGGTGAAGTAGGCTCCTGCGGCCGGGAGCCTGGTGAGACTATGAACGAAGCCGCCAGCATTGAACCGCAGCATCCAGATGCTGGAGGCGACGCGTCCTTTTGGCGCTGCGCCACATGTGACTCTAGTTTCTCTTCATGGAACGTTTTTAGACAGACATGGAGCTGCGACCAATGTGCCTACACGGGAGCCCACCAGACGAGAGACACCTGATGGGACTTGGGTCTATATGCCGGCAGGACCACCGCCCGACTACTTCAACGACTCGTCCACCAACGAGCGACCACATCGTCGACGACCACGCCGTTCCCGCAGGCAACGCCACGGTCCTGATGAGGAACCTAATGACGATCCTCCCCATGAAGAACAAGCTGATGAGACTCCCACCAATGACCCGGTGGTAAATGTGACACCGATGACCTCACTGCAAGGCGTCACACCTCCCAGGACTGCTTCACTGCCTCCTCCCACGGCCACCGACAGATGCCGCGCCGGTCCCTCCTCAGGACCCTGTTGAGCGACTGGCAATGGTGCTGGCCAATGCCTTGGAAGGAGCTCAGAAGAAGAAAGGTCAGAGCAGTTCTTCATCTGACTCATGGGTGAAGTTCCGTGGTGGAGCCCCACCGCTTCCTCCAAGCTGGACTTACGCCCTCAACGACATCCGGGCGTATGAGCGCTATGAAAGAAAAGTCCGCGCGTGGCAGCTTCAAGCTCGACATCACATGACCGACAAGGAGATCGGTATTGCACTCTTCAACTCGCTGAAAGGCAAGGCAGAGCTTGAGATGGAATTCACGCCACTTGAGGACATTTACTGCAAGAGCGGTGTTGACAACATTTTGGCGCAGCTCAAACAATCTTTCCAGCAACGCTCTGTGTATGTCAAACGACAGTTCTTGCACGAGAACGAAACCATGACGAATCCCTCAGGGGATATTGTAACCGTTATAGGCGGGTCGAGTCGAGTCTTCGCTGAAGGCCATTGGGGTTGACATCAGCCTGACCCATGACTCCGAGTCCAGAGGATCTCGCTTGTTGGACCGTGCCCGCAATCCCTGGATTTCGAGCAAGTCCGATCAGCTCTCATGCTGCAATACCCCGAACATAAGCCTGCTCCTGCCGTTTCAGGACGTGGAGAGACGACTGCACCCTTTCAGACCAAGGGTGAGGCCCCAGACACTGAGGCAGTCAATGATGAATGCAATGATCCTCAAGATGGCGATCTCCAGACCATCGATGAGGGCGATGAGTTTGCCGACCCTCCTGAGGAGGCTCTAGATGAGCACGATGGTGAAGAACCGCAAGAACCAGATGATGCTGATGAGTTCTCTGAGCTGGCCACAGTGCTGACTGACAGTCACAGCCCGGAAACTGGCCAACATGACCCAAGGCCGGAAATACTCTGGGCAACCCAAGCGCTCATTGGATGAACGCAAGAAGAACAGTGTGTGCGCAGCTTGTGGAGAGAAGGGGCGCTGGGCGAACGACCCAGAATGGGTGGCCACATCATCGACTTCCACCTCCAGCGCATTCCCTAAAGGGAAGGGCAAAGGCCAAAAGGGCCGCGATGGAAGCTCTGGCGAGACCAAAAAGGTCATGACCGTGCATCTGAGTTCGGGCTATGACACCTCCGTTGAGTACATCCCGACGGTGACCCTCCTCATGCACACTTTGCTATGATGGTTTGTTCACTACCTCCTCACCTTTGTTTTTCAACCTCCTCCTCGGACACGGTGGGGTACATGATCATGGATACAGCATGCCAGAGGTCGTGTTGCGGTTCAGCATGGTTTGAAGCCCACACCAACCACCTCCACCAGTTCCGGTTGAAGATCTACCAAGAGTCTAGCAGTGAACGGTTCCAATTCGGCTCAGGCTCACCAAGAACATCAACGACAAAGGCATGGATCCCAGCCCCGATTAGCCGCCAGTGTTTGATCCTTGGTGCCAACATTTTGAACGACGTCGACGTCCCCTTCCTATGTAGCCTCTCCTTGCTCAACCAATTGGGCACTGTGATCGACCTCAACTCAGGCCAAGCGACCTTCACCGCACTGCAATGGGGACTACAGTTCCACTACGAAGGCTCGGGGGGCACCTCGCAGTGAGCATTTGTGATTTTCCTCAGAGTCCACATCGTTTGGCTGTTTGGGGCAAGCTGTTTGAGCAAGGGTTCACGAATCCAGATGCATCCGCGCCTGTCGAACCTCCTTGTGATGGCCACCCTCGAGGTCTACGACCCGATCGTGGGACAGCGCTGGAAGCAACTATGTCGACATCTACACCGCCAGGCACGGCAGGCTGTGGTGCTCTTGCATCGCGCCTCTTGACTGGGGGTCGTGAACACCAAGGACTATACAAGTACCTCATGGACGACCAGGACAACGTGACGGACGACTCGAGGAAGAAGGACACAAAGGGCAAAAAGAGCAAGGCCAAAGCCGGGCCCTCAGGTGCGGCGCGACCCAAGAAGACCGCAGCAGCGTCGTCAAGCAGTGCAACCGAGATCTACACGGCCCGAGCTCAAGCAGAATGCAGCCATCCGGAGTTCAAGCGCCACGGCAATCGACGCGGGTCATTCGCGACGTGCGCCAAGTGCATGGCCCGTTGGCGGTGGGACGACACCGCTTGGAGGCAGCATGGGTCATGATCCTCCAAATTGTCACTGCCTCTGCCTTGTTTCTTGACGGTGGCGGATGGTTCAATCAAGCCACCGGGCTACCAAGGGGAAGTGCAACCACACTTGGCCGCGCCGGGATCCAGCACCTCTTCCGATGCATGTGGCCAAGGCTTCCCCGCCAGGCAGAGCCAGGGTTCGATGGCCGCAACAATGGCAGCAACAATGGTGGCAGCTTCGTCAATGGCCTTGAGACAGAACAAGACTTCTATGAGCAGATCTCGTCCTCCTTCTCTGACATCTTCGGCCGCAGGCCATGGCAAGACGGCAGCAGAGATGCAGGACCACGACTTCGACATCCTGCAGGAGTTCGAGGAGGTGGAGAGCGTCTACAGTTGGCCGCCGGGAAGCGAAAGCGATTGATTGGTGACGTGAATTAAGCTCTCCGGCATATGGACCAATGAGGTGATGACCTTGAATGCTCTCCCACCTGAACGACACAAGCCCTACGTGCTCGACATCCTGGAGCTCTTTGCCGGTGAAGCCAAAGCGAAAAAGATGGCCAAATCCTTCGGCGTGAACGCTTTGGAACTATTTGACAAGAACGACGGCAAGGACCTCCAGGACCCCAAGACCAAGAAGCTTGTGGAGCATGCCATTCAGCGGTTCCGGCCCTATCTCTTGCTGGCCGGCTTCCCATGCGCGCTCTACAGCATCATGAATGAGAACGGGTTCTCGAGGAACTTCGTGCTGAGCAGAGGCCTCTCCTGGAGTGGACTTGCAAGCAATGTGAAACTCAGGTGAACGAAGACCGCCTGTTCATGATGGAGAACCCAGACAAGAGCAGAATCTGGACTGAAGAAGCTGTCCAACGACTCGCTCGTCTGTGTGGAGTGACCACGGTTCTCTGCGACGGAGGCGTCTTTGGAGCCACTGACCGGGACAACTGCCCGATCATCAAGACCTACAAGTTCATGGTGAATGACACTGAACTGGCTCAGGCACTACATCGCCGCCTATCGCCTCAAGAACGTCAAGTCTGCAGGCCACTGGAGGGAGTTCATGTCACGAACTCCCAAGTCTACCCGGATGAACTCGTCCGGACCATCCTCAAGGTGCTCAAGAAGAAGGCTCAGCGATGGAGCCGACAGCGATTTGATGAAGCACCAGTGGAAGACCATGACCGCTGGCGCCGGATCCTCAATGATGTCAGAAACATGTTCTCCGGCGGCACAGTGAAATCGCTCAACATCCAGCCCGGGCAAGAGATCTGTGAGCGTGTGAAGGAGTTGGTTCCCTGGGAGTTGACACGGGTGCAAGTTGGTTCACTGCCCATCACCCGTCGGATGCCTCAAGATGTGCCCTACACTCATCGAGGATCAGCTCTCTTGCACAACGATGAGTGCATCACCTTGGAGAGCGAAGATCTTGCACTACTTCGCTTCCCTCGAATGAGATTTCAAAAGGCAGTTGCAGCAGCAGTGTTCTTCTATGGCGTGGCAGAAGATGATGAGAAGCACCCTGCAGCAGCCGCTGCCGACCACCACCAAGACAATGCCGAGGACCAGAACATCAACGTACCTGTTCCTGGCCTTCGGACTGACATCACCTTTCCGGATGCGCCAAAGACCCTTCCTGCTGCAGTCAAAGCCTCAGTGGCGCGGCTCCACCTCAACATGGGCCACGCTAGCAAGCAGGAGTTGACAAGACTGCTCGCCGCCCATGGCTCCATCAATGGCATGGTTCTCACCGCCCTCGAGAAGATGGTTTGTGGGAGCTGTCAACGAACCAAGCGGCCAGCAGCACCAAGACCGGCAACAGTGCCCAACTTCATGGGGCAATTTGGCGAGAGAGTCCAACTGGACATCGTGTACATCCGGGATCTCTCTGGATGCAATCATCCGGTGCTCGAGATGGTTGATTTGGCCACCACTTTCCAACAAGCAGTACGACTTCTCAGCTGCAGCAGCGAACACGTTCTGGACTGCTTCCGCAGAGCTTGGCTATCTCCATACGGCTATCCCCTGGTCTGTGAAGTTGACGCCGATGGAGCTTTTGAAGGATCATTCCGATCCACCCTGGAAGAGAATGGAGTTCATGTGCCCACCATCCCACCTGAAGCACACTGGAGGATTGGCACTGTAGAACGGCGCAATGCCTTGCTGCGGACAGTGGTTGAGAAGCTGGTCGATGAGAATGCGGCCCCACCAGGAGATGGACTGGCTTTTGACTGCTGCAGTTCAGAGTTGTCAGAGCCTCAATTCTACTACGGCAACAAGAGGACGCAGTCCCTACCAAGCAGTCCGGTCGGGCGCCCCGCTTTCCTGGTGACCTCTTCAGCGATGACAGAGCACTGGCAGTGTCAGACAACCAGCTCCTAGCCGAGGAGTTGAGATCCCAGGCCTTGAGGGTCATCAATGAGATGCGAGCTTCGCAAGTGATCAGAAGAGCACTCCTCCGTAAGACAACGCCCAACAAGGAAGAGTCGCAGAGCATTTTGCCAGGCTCTCTGTCAGCCTACTGGCGATGGTCGAAGAAGTCAGCAGGCAAGAAGCGAGGAGGATATGTCCTTGGAAGGCTCATCACGCACGACTCCGATGGCAAGAGCGCATGGCTTCAAAAGAGGCGCAACCGTTCAAGTCTCCTATGAACAGCTTCGTCCAGCATATATGGCCTCAAGTCATGACACCCAGCCTGGACGACGTCAAAAACCTCAAGAACGCTGAATGCAACCTCGCCGACGTGGTCCAGGCCCTTTTGAAGACGAGCCAATGGATCCTGATGTCGCAGCTGAAGTGGCAGAATATGAGCCATCAATGATGGACGATGCGCCCGAACCTGTTCCACTACTGCTTGGAATTCCCCAACCTTCGGCGCTGGCACCTCTTCCAGTACCATCTCGACAGCTTGAGCAACAAGCGCAACCGCCGGCAGTGTACTCACCAACGTACACACAAAACATCAGGCAGCATTTCCACCAGCACTTTGAAACGGCAGCGGCGAACCGCGCGAGAGAAACGCAAGACCCAGAACAGAACCGCCGTCGCGGCACGACCTGGTTCCCTTCCCACAAGCTGAAGCAAATGCACGGCAGCACTTGCAGCACCAAACAACGGCACAGCAAGACATCCTGGACTACATGAGACGCCACCAACCTCATCTAGCCCAACCGCCACAACAGGCATTACCACCTCCGCCAAACAACGGCACAGGTGAACCTGCCATGTCTACTGCAGCCGGACCAGCATCAGCAACACACACGGCAGCAGCAGACGCAAACCACTCGGCAGCAGCAGCTGACTCAGTGTCACTGGTGACCCGTCGCATTCCAAAGAAACGCTTCACCTTCATCGTGAGCGACTGTGCAGTTGAGCCCTACTACAACCCTGGCCTGACGGTCATCAGAGTGTGGCTGGGACGGCAACGCCAAGACACTACTGCCCTCCCTCAGCAAGGTCTACAAGACCATAGCAGCCAAGGCAGAAGATGCCGAAGTAAGTGACTCCTCCTGTGATGACAGCGAGAATGGTCAAGAGCCTTCCATGTCCAAGCTCAGTCGTCAAGAGCGCAAGGCCTTGGACCGTGAAATTCCTTGGCGCACCATTGTCAACGGCCCTGATGAAGTGCTGGCGCTCTACATCGCGGCAAACCAGAAGGAGTACAACAGTTGGATGTCATGGGGCTGCATCGTCCCAGTGCCTGTGGACCAGATTCCCAAGATCAAGGCCACACCTTCACTGCGGAAGCGAATAGTGCCTTCAAGAAACGCTTACCGCGACAAGAAATGCTTACCGCGACAAGAATCGTGGAGCTGGCCCAGAGATCAAGGCACAGTGATTTTGGGCTGCTTGGACCCTGACTTGATGGTGCTCAACCGCAGTAGCCCAATTCCGAGCAAGCTGGCAGAGATGGTCCTTCTCCAGATCGCATCGTCAACCCTGTCCGGCCTGGTCGAATTGACCGGACTGAAGTGGAGCCTCTGGCGCGGCGATGTCGCAATTAACCGCCTTTTTGCAAGGTGTTCCAGAGAGACACGAGATGCCCATGTACATGCGGCCGCCACGAGATGGAGTCCAACAACTCGCCCAGACGTTCACCTGGGAGCTCTATGAAGTGGTTGGAAACCTGTATGGTTTTGCTAGTGACCCCTCGAACATGGTGGAACAATGTCGTCAAGACCGCCACGGCTTGCGGCTTCACTCCCGATATGACCGCTGCGTGATGGTCAAGCGAGATGACAAAGGCTTCCTGCTGGTGGTGATGATCATCCATGTGGATGACTTCCTGGTGACCTTCCGCGAGGACTACCCCTGAAGGAGTTGGAAGGTATGTTCACTTGGGGTTCAACCACCCTTCTGAAAGAAGATAACCACCTGGTCTTCCGCGGCAAGGAGATCCGTTTGAAGAAGATCGCCAACCATACCACCATTCAGGTGACTCAAGAAAGCTTCATCGACGAGATGTCGGAAGGGAAGCTCCAGCATGGTCGCCTCAATGCCACCTCCCTCAATGAGAGCGAGGTCAAGGACTTCTGGTCAATGTCCGGTTCGCTCCAATGACTCGGAGGACAGACGCGCCCTGATCTATGCGCCGCTGTGAGCCTTGCCAACCGTGGGCGCGAGACCACGCCCGCAGATCTCCGTGACCTGTACGAGTACATCCATTTGGCCAAGATGACTCCGTCATTGGGCTTGACCTTCCGTCCAGTCCCATTCGTCAAAGCAGCCATGCTGATTGGCTACGGAGATAGCTCATGGGCGAACGCCCCTGGCGCCAAGAGCCAGATGGGAAGCTTGGTTCTCTTCGCTCCCCCTGGCAGCATGGAGAAAAAGTGCTACGTGTCCATTTTTGGACTGGAAGTCGGCCCGTTCACCACGAGTCGCGCGGTCGACGTTAGCGTCGGAGGCAAATGCCATGGACGAGACAGTGGACAGGAGCACATACTGTAACCACTTCTTGACTGAGCTCCTGTATGGTGGCGCCCGCGACCAAGCACGAGATTGCGGTCGAGCCCTACGGCAGATGCAGTGCACGGACTGCAAGTCCCTGTACGCTGCCGTCGTGGCATCAAACCCGTCCACGACAGAGAAGCGGACCATGATCTCAATCAGGTCCATCCAGGACTACATCGATGAGGACAGCTGCCGCTGGGTTCCGACCCACGTAATGTGGGCTGACGGGCTCACGAAGAAGGACAAGCAGCTCTGTCTGACCTTCCAGGAGTGGTTGATCCACCCCCATGTCACACTTGTGGAGGAAAAAGAAAAACACCAGTGTGAAATTGTGCGCATTGGACCTGACTGGATTGACAGACCCCTCACTGCGATTTCCTCCACAGATGTCGACTCTCTTTTTTGCACTTCGGCCAATGTGGCCCTAATGGTCCCTCAGCGGGCCCCTTGAGTATTTGCGCTTCGCGCGCGACTTGGTGCCCATGGCTGATCGCACGCACCGCGATCTTGGACTGTGAAAAGAAGCGTGCCGCTTCCAGCTGTTTTGCACTTTCCAGCTTTCACAAGACTTTCATTCTTCTTTATTGTAAAGAAATGCAGATCCGTGGAAAGACGTTTCTGAAACCAACAAGAGGAACAGGTCCTGCTTGTTGCGCTTTGCCAAGTCCGAGGTTGCAGGGGACATTTGTGTGGTCGACAGTTCCACAGCTCGCCTTCTCGAGCTAGTCTCTTCATCTCGACGTTCTCTCATGAGCCTCTTCAGCTGTCGCACTCCGCAGGAGAGAAGCTTTGATGAAGCTCGATGAAGCCAGTTTTTATTCGTTTTGCTGTGGGGGTCTTTTGCCTGAAGGAACAGCCTGCTGTGAATGTAACAAAAGTAGAGGTGTTGGGTGGCTTTGGGGTGGGTGTTGATTGTGCTGCTCCTTGTCATTCTGGCTCAAGGAGCTGCGCCCACCTTGTTACATTGCCTTCCCGCCGGTGGCATTGTGGCCAGGGTGGGAGGGGCATGCGCTTGACGCCAACAGGCGTTTCAGACAACAAGGGGTGGGTGGTTACATGCGGGCCGGGTGAGTGCGAGCCATGTCATCAAGATCCTCATCGCTGCCCTGCCTTGGATTCCTTTGCGTTTCATATTGTTGCAGCAGGTGCCACCGGACGGTTGAATGTATCAAGTGCTTCGAAGTGACCATGAGTGCATCTCACAAAGGACGAGAGAAGTATATAGGATGATGGTCTTGAACTTGAAAGTCGTAATCACTTTTGCAGGCCTGGATGCCAGATGACAAGACGTTATCAGGATCACTGACAGCTTTGCTCAGCAATCAGAGGATGGAGTTCTGCAGCGCAGAAACCAAGGTCACCAACACTTGCAGAAGCAAAGCTTGTGGGACATGTCTGCAGAGACAGGCGGCGGTGATCAATTCAACGGTTCAATGGCAGACTCGTCAGGATCGTTGCCATCAGCTATCGCGAGACAGGTGAAGCTTGGCAGGGTCATTTCGCAAACGCTGCAAATCGACGACGTTGAGGTGCTACGTGTGGGGGCATGTGACTAGACTAGACTTCTTGCGCGCGGCAGTCAATGAACCGGCGTGATTGCAAGCTCCTCGGAAGTCATCGCTTCAAGGAGGGCGCCCTCGAGAGCAACAGGAGATCAGAGGGTGCGTGGGAACAGTAGGACGCGAAGATTCAACAATGAGGGGGCTGGAAGTACGTTTCTGCGCGCAGAGATGCCTGAGCATGGTTTTTTAAGGCGGGTGGCGACAGGAAAAGGAAAGAAGACTGGTGGAAAGAAGGGCAAAGGCGGCGAGAGGCCCCATCTCCACCAGGATGCATGAGGGCCAGGACACGGCTGAAGGGTTGGTCACTTCGGGCGCGGAGCAACAGCAGCGCTTCTTGAGCAGAAACACGCTGAAGCCACTGTTGGAATGTGGACATCTTCTGGCTTCTGGTGTTCCTCCACAACTGCTCCTCAACTTGCAGGTTGCGCAGCAGCCTGCTGTCACTGATGTTTTTCGGATCGCTTGCGCGCAAATGTTTCGAGGCTGTTGCCGTCGCAGTTTGCTGTCAACTTCATTCCTTTCACAGGTCCGTGGCCCAGGCCCTTCAAGTTTTCGGCGCGCTTCTGAGCTCAGGTGGATTGCTTAGATGAACGCATGTCGATAGAACGGAGGATGCAGACTACTGTGCAACTGTCATATGGGCACGTCGGCTTTGTGGTCGTGGCTGCAACGAAGGAATGCCTGAGCCAGCAAGGACGCGCAAGAATGCTTTGCCCCGTGCCGTTTCACTTTTTCTGAAGGACATAAGGACTTGTTACATTACTGACATCGTTGATGCGTTCTGGCTGATCCCGCTGCCTTCGTGGTCATGAAGACGTAACACTTCAGAACAAGCTTTGCTGGTTTACAAGGACTGCTCAGGGTCCAAGATGCACCACTTGTCGCTCGTGTCTCAACGCGCGCAAAGCGCTGCCCCGCTGACCAGACCAACAGAATGGCAGTCATGTTTGCGCTGTGTGGTTGGCGCGCTACCTGGATTGGAGTTCAGGAGGAGGCGTACGACAGAATAATTGCGAGAGTCATTTGAGCCAAGGTACAGGAGGTCAAGGCAACGTGTTGTCAAAGAAGATCTTGACGTACGGTGATAGGCAAGCTGCGCAAAGAAGACACAGCCACGCTCCGCAAGAATGCGTGTTCGCAAAACAGATAACAACTACTGTCACGTGATCGCAGTTTTGCAGGGTGAGCTTGCGGGAGTGAGACGCGAGCATGCTTTGGCTGCGTATGAACTGGTTGGTTAATTGCTGTTCATTGCTTGGGACGCAAGTTGTTTGGATTCTTTGTATTTCGAATTTCGCACGCCTCATTTGCAGGCCTCATCGCATTGTAACATTGGGCAGAGAAGTGGGAACGCCAGGGTGTTGTGTTCTTTTCTCTAGGTGTGCATTTAAGGCGGTTCCTCGCAGTATCAAGTGGTGCCCTGACTCGCCCCGCCACGCGCAAGTTAGACAAAGCCAGCGTGACACCGGCTGGCTCAGAACTTGATGTCCGAAAGGCGATGTCGTATCCCAAACCGTATTTTGGAGAGCGCTCAGAACTTGACAAGGGTAGACTGGCTCATGTGCCTGCGCTGCCTCACTGTACCCACTGTGGGTGGTGCCCCACCCTGAAGGGAACTATGTTAAACGAGTTGGAGGCTGCGGGCATGGGCGTGGTAAGGAACGCTGCAGAGGGTTGAAGGCGACGGGCCCTTTGCGAGAAAACAAAGAGCGAAACTCTGCGGCGCGGAGAGCCATGGTGGGACTTGCGTTTGATGCGAGCGTGTGGGGAGCACGCTGCTTGGAACCTGCGGTCCTGCGTGAGAGCTTCAAGGTGTATGTTGTAGTGTAGTTAGATTTCACTGCAGTTCCTTCAACCTACGTGTCCAAAGTTGCCTGGAAAGCAGTGGACGCGCGCCTGTGACACTGACCTGCCCTGCCCGTTTCGCGCCCAGAAAAATACCGCGCGCCCAACGAGAAGGGTCGCGTGTCATACCAAGAGTTCGTTGGACCTTAAGCCCCTGGTGGATGAGGTTGACCGACAGAAGAAGCTTCGCGCAAGATGTAGTTAACGCTGAGTGTTGAGTGACTGTACAGAAACACGATTGACGCCAACAAGCAGGTTGAAGATGCCTCATCGCCCAAGCGACCATCGGTGTTTGGGTCTGGGTGGTGGATAGCACCGAGAAAGCTGATGAACGAACTCGAAGACTGTGACTAGGTGCTACCCAGCTGCTGGCGCTGAGCCTTCCACCAATTTGGACTCTTCGTTTCCATAATTGCGTTGAGATGGTCTTGTCACACTTCGAACCACCCACAGCAGGGCGCTTAGGTTCAAAACTGTGAGCAGCGCGCGTTTTTCGCGTCGTATATGTTTGAACGAATAGCCCTGTGAATGTAGCATAAGCGGACGAGTTGGGTGGCTTCTTTGGCGTGGTTTACTTGCGCAGGTCCTTGTCATTTATTGCTCAAGGAGTCGCGCCCTTAGGTAAAGCCTGCAACCTGGGTGGAGGGAGGGGTCGTTCAGGTAACGTATGTTTGTGTTTCCCGGAGATCTGTCCTGTGCGCGCGTATGCGAGCACATTTGCTGCCCCTCTCTCGGATCAATCAGCGTTCAAGGTCCACAAAGTACTGCGCCTGCCACGTAAGCTGCGCTTCAAGGTTCACTTCACAAACACTGCGCCCACCACGAAGTCTGCTCTTCAAGGTGCACAAAGTACGCTTGCCGCGCAACCTGCGCGTCAAGATTCACATGGCGCAGTCCTGCCATGGCGACCCGCAGCAAGAGCACTTCCAAAGACAACGTCAAGACGCCAAAACGCAGCTCTCGCCCGAGACGTCCTCCGATTTCTGACGCGAACTACGTGTCGTTTAAAGTCACGATTCACTGCGCCTGCCACGAAATCAGAGAGCGCCCAAGACCACCGCCGCGTCCAAAGTATACTGTGCCTGCCACGAAACATGCGCATCGACGTACAACCGCTCCGGTCTCACGAAAAGTCTACCGTAAGGACCCCTAGTGTTACCACACTGTTTGGGGAAGCAACAGGAGGAAAAACATGAGGGAAAACGTGCTGGCGTAAAGGCGGCGTGTCGCTGGAGAGCGGGATGATTGGCGGTGCTCGCGAGGCTTAGTGCTACATTCTTGCATCATTCTCTGTGGTACACCGCCTCAATCCAAAAACCTGCGCTGCTCGCGTACAGATTGTAAGATTTCTTCGGGGCAGGGCCTGAAGTCACATACTATTGTTGAAGCTGTGCGTAAACTTGTGTAAAAAGATCGATTGTAAGATTTCTTCGGGGCAAGAGCTAAACGTGCCTCTTCATCTATCCTCTTCTGACCCTACCTCACTTTCTCTTTCACCGTCTCCCACCTCTCTTTGCTGTGCAATTTCATCATCGCGCAAACGTGCCTTTTGCCAGAGTAATTCTACACCTGCATAAATGCTCTCGAGCCATCCGTCGTGTAGTTCAACAAGACTCTTTCTGAGCCGCTGTTTTGAAACTTCTTCCTTGACGGTCTCAAACGGTAGGTGTTGGAACTTCTGTAGTTAAAACTGATGCCAGCCAGCTTTTTCGGATACAAGCCAGGGCAAGCTTCGGTTGAGACAGTCCTTGCTGCAACCATCTGCCAATCTCTCGGAGATTCAACAGCGACAGTCAGGAGTTGAGGCGCCCAAAGTGATTCGTGTATTGGAAATCTGTAGAGTTCGAGATTTCGAGGTATTATCAGAAAACCAGATTTGACAACGTGTGCGGGTTTTTCATGTGTTCTTTCCAGCCAGTTAAAAACGGAGCGTGTCTAAGCCTTCCTGATGGGGAGGCTTTGCTGGAAGATCGGCTCCTGGATCGTGTCCAGCAATTGTTTTCTCCTCAGCCTGACATCCAAGACATAACAAGGCCTTTCATGTATTTCGTGTCGCCTCGCTCGCTCTTCTTATCTTGTTAGGCTTCCTGGTGTTGGAGACCTCGATTTGTTGCTTGCGCGCCTCTCTGCCGAACCGCGGCAGCGGGGGATTCAGTGGTACAAGGAGACGCTGACTGTGAGAGTGACGCAAGGAAACCTGTGAAGTGAGGTGTCTGTGGCTCAAGAGTGTCTTTGGCTTTTCGTTTCTTTGGAAAAGCCCGGGGTCAATGTCTAGCTGTTGCACAGATGGACCAAGATATAATTAGGGTGTCTCACACAGCGCTAGAGCGTTGGTGCGTCACATTGCAATCCTGCAGGCCGCCGTCCGCACCGCTCTACGCCTCCGCCAAGCCCTGTCAGCTTTGCCACTTCTGGCTGCCGCGGTGGGGGAGGATTGGCGCAGGGTGTTGAGCGGCATGCTGCAGCGTATCAATCCAAATCGGACAGTATACGCGCCCTTGCTTGCCTTCGATGTTTCCGTCGTGTCTTGGGCGGTTTCTCGAGCGATTGTGGTGATATTTTCGGTTCTTTTGGAGAATATGCCCGCTGTGCTTGGAGAGTGCGCAGGGCACTTTGAGGAATTCTTGAACGGTACACCAGGAGCTTTGTTGAAAAGTGCGCCGA